CATTTACTGCACAGTAGACTAATTAGCTGTGCAGTAAATGTCACATGTCTACATGTGCACCCTTATTGGGTTGGAGTAAACTAATTTACTTTGTAGTAGGACAGTACTTGTAAATACAAGTGCTATCTTGCTGCAGAGTTTTTTATTCCATAGCAGTGCATGTGTAGATGTTGCCCTGACTGGCTGGGACATGAGGGTGCTTCAGTGCAAGGGCTGCCTGCCAGCTAGCTCTACACTCATTGGTGACGTGTAGGGGGTGCACACGGGTACATGTGCACCCCCTGAGATTGGCAGTGCACCCCCTGAGCCTGGTTGCTGCCAACGCTGCCAGAGGTGCCTGTGGGCGGTCGTCAATCACCGCTGGCCACCGCCAACACTGCCAGCAGCGTCCGTGTGTGGTCACCAATCACCAGTCAGTGATCCCTACCGCCCCTCACCACCGACACCACCACGGCTGCCTGCAGGAGCTTCCCGCTTGTTGCTGCCATGCCCCTGCCCCAACGCCGACACCATTGCATGTGGGTGGTCGCCGTGCCCCGCCAGCCTCATGCCTACATTGAAGCACTCCCATGTCCCAGCCAGCCCCTCCACAGCACATTGAGCCTGGGGGGCTGGGGGAAGGCGGGGAACCCTGGGTCCCTTGCCAGTCAGGGCTGCTCCAACCGGGCTTAGTGGGCTGCGGTTCACCATGCAAACAGTGCACCCAGAGCAAAAAAATAAGCACCAGAGTTCATTGCATCACAATAATATATATTAATATGCACATGTAGACATGCCAAGTTACAAGCAAGACATTCAGTTAATGGCTTAAACTGGATAAAAAGAACCAGACAAGTATATAACAGTAAAATCAAGTGAGTACAGTCTGAGAATTCTCCTTCGAAGCTCCAACAAGCCAATCTCTACAAGTTTGGTAAGTCTGATAGAGAAGCTTGTTGCCAAGTTTGATAGAGAAGCTCTTTTTAGCTGTGCATTACAGAACACTCCAGATCTTAAAGGTGTAATCACCAGAGCTTCTTAAAGCTACTAATACTACTGCAAGAATGTTTTTACAAGTTAAACAGAAACCAGAAGATAACAGAACTTTAAAGGCCTGAAGGGGAAGGGTTTCAAACAGTGATTCTCAACCAGGGTGTCACAGCACCCTAGAATGCCTTAAGATCCTTTCAAGGGTGCCACAAAGTGCCATGCAATGTTAGCACTGTTAGGTGTGCACAAATGATTCATAAGATAAACGCAGAGATTTCAAGCAGGAATTCACAGTGTTCAAAATATCTTGACCTCTTGCAGTCTTTCACAGTTTTTTGCAACAAAAGAACCGCTTTATTGTTTTTCTGGAGTCAAAAAATGAGTGAAAACTAAGAGCTGGCATATTGAGAGGGGTGCCTTGAGTCTAAGATTGAAAATCACTGGTTTGTGCGGTGGGGGGGAAAAAAGATACAAGTTTTTATATTTTATTACATTGTGTTGGCAGCCAGTGGAGTGAGAGGGATGTTACAGCAAGAATATTGGGATCCCTGGTAGCCATGGCTGAATATTAGCGTACCTTACCTTCCATACAGCTGAGGGACTGCCCTCTTCAGGAATCCATAGGCTGAACACACTGCACCAACCAGGCAATCCCTTACATTTTAACCCTCTCCAACAATTCCCTGCAAGTCCCCTACCACATTCCTCAGGCCAGGAACTCCATGTGTTCCCCAGTCTTCTCTCTGCATGTCAGAGGCTGTGGGTTTTCCTCCCCTCATAGCATTGTTCCCCTTCCTCCCCATGTCATGTGCTGTGTACCCTCAACCCCTGTCAGGTACAATTTTCTCCTCCCCAGGTCCTTGTTTTCCATCCTTCTTTCCTCCTACTCAAGCATCAATTTATTTCCAGGCCTCTACTTCCATTCCTATTCTTCTAGTTTTCCCCTTATGAATTCCTGTTTCAATTATCACCAGGACTCTCCAATCCATTCTATGTTAAGTCTCTTCTTCCTCTGTGCCACCCGCAGCCCCATCTGTTCAGTTTCCTAACACTTTATCCACATCCCCACTCCCACACTTGTCCCCATTCCTTTCTCCACTCTCCATTTTTACTCTCCCCCAAGCCCTCCCTATCAGATCCTTTTAAGTCCAAGCTACAGGCAAACCAACTCAAGCACCAAGCTAAGCTGCTCCTTTGGTATGCGCAAGCAGTGACAGGGGGTGTCAGCAAAATTCTTGTGTCTGCAGCACCAGCCAGTGTGGAGGCCAGAGTTTTCCTGTGCATTTTTCTTTACTGGTCCTCCAATTTGCACCAGAATCAATAGGCTACTACCTGATAATCTGCCAAACACTCTCTGACATCTTGGAGCAGACTGGCTGGCAGTGTTCCAAGTTATCCCACTGAGAATTAGACTTTGTTGTGCATGGCCAAGGACCTCACTTTTATACGTGAATGAGTTGAGGATCATGAGGAAAGGAAGGATGGAGAGCAGCAGAGTAAGGACTCTGGACTTCAGAAAAGCTGGCTTGGCTGGGATGATCTAATTGGGGGTGGTCCTGCTTTGAGCAGAAGGTTAGACTTGATGACCTCCTGAGGTCCCTTCCAACCCTCATTTTCTACAATTTTAGGAAGCAGTTTTCTTCTGTGCCTCCAGTGCAACCTCAAAACACCAGGCTGACCACCCAGTCTGCAAGAGGCAGAAAGCAAGAACTTCTCTTCCCCAAACAGCAAGAGATCCCAGTTAAAACCCAAGCAGAGCTACTAACAGGCAATTCCCATTACATGCAACACTTACAAGTAGTCAGGATTTGCATGAACTACAAAACAAAATTTAAAATTGGTAGACTGGAGCAGCTTTAGAACAGTCTTGAAAGCCCTTGCTCTGGTGAATGCTGAGGTCAGGTTTAATGGGATGCAGAAGAGACTTTCCAGCTCTTCTTGGCTAGAGGCAGGAACATGGTGTTTCTGGGAGTAAGAAGTCGGATGAAATTCCCTCCCCAATGTCCATATGCATTGCATAATTGCCAGAATCAGAAAAACTAGGGCTAAGTTGATCCCTTCTGCTTATACATGTTTGAAGCTATATTGTCACCAGACATCCATTTCGATACAGCAGTTTGTTAGATTAAAGGCATTCTTCTTTATTTTACACCTTTGGAACCTGTCTCAGAAGAGTCACATGAAATTTCATTTTCAACCTACTGGTGTGTGAATAATTTGAAAAGAACAGTAGCCCAGTTTAATCAGACTTTTTTGCACAGGCTTAACGTCCGAAAAGTAAATTGACCCATCTCTATCAGTCTGAAGAATCTGGGACCCATCACTGTGTCTGGCAAACCAAACCCAGCAGTGTCTCATACAGAGTTAGGCAAAGGGAACAAGACTCAGAAGAAACAGCATTCAGTAGAATTAGAGGCACAAAAATAAACTTGAACTGCATTCTCAGGAAACTGCTCTTTGTAATCTACTGAAAAAATACAGTAGTAGCGTAGTCTCATTTGTTTGCAGGGATATAGTCTCACATTATTCACACATTTGAGCATAACTACAAGGCCTTAAGCAAAAGGTATACAGAAGTACTCCATGTACATTTTACAGCACTATATTTTAGAGCACTTCTTATAGGACTATAAAGTTACAGCTCTCTTAAACATGACAGAAGTGCAGTGTTTGGAGGGAGTGGGAGGTAGTGGGGGGAGGGCTCTGAGCCTCCCTGCATTTTCCCGGCTAGGTGGCAGGGGGTTCTTCACAGCCTTTTGGGGCCTGGCAGTAGCTGTGTATGTCGCTTTCACCCCCAACCCTCTTAGCTAGGCACAGGCACTGGATCTGCCATGGGGCCAGGCAGCAGCTTGCAAAGCCCACAGGATACCGACAGAATTGTCACAAATTTGACCAGCATACAGATGTTATTTAAAGCGCTGTAGGTTGCTAAAGTGCTGTAAAGTACAGCGCTTCACATTTAATACCTCATTTAATGGGTTGATTTAAAGTGCTATAGCCATTTTTAAAGTGCTGTAAAGCTGTGCACTTCTGTTAAGTCATGGCAATAAAGCACTTTAAATGATGAAAAAAGCAACTTCTGCATATACTTAAGGAGTTTAAAAGCACTGTCCACAGGATTAATTTGGGAGAAGACTGTTTCACCAGAGAAAAAATTATGGCCATGCCCCACCTTCTTGCAGAACATAAGTAGCTTCTAGCTTTTTGAGCCTGGGCTAAACTGCTTTTTAATGAGACGGTTTCATGAGACCTCCCAACCTCTCGCAATAACAGTTTTACCTAAGCTTTAGCTTCCTTAATTTTACACTATATGCTCTTCTCTTCATGTTCTGGCACCACAAAGCTAAGCTGCCACTCAGTTTTATAGCTAATCCACTTTACCCAGAACCCCTTCTGCTTATCTTCTGCCCTCCCTCCTCTTCTCTTTCCCCTCCTCCCCCAAAAATCTCTCTGACAAATGATCAGACTCCAAACTAGTAAACATGCAAATAACCAAAACAGCTGAGTCACCCATGCCCCACCTGATGCAGAGCAACCTCAGCATAAAAGGTGCTCAGGCTGCATAGCCTGCTGCTTAAAGAGACAGTTTCCACTGGGTTACTTTCCCCCTGAAGAAACACCCACTTACTACACAAGGCCAATTTATTCCTGGTGGAACTCTACTGACTCTATTGGAATTATATTACACCAAGGATGAAGATGAATGTCAGTGTTTACTTGTATAACTCAGTACTTCTCATTATGTACGCTGCTTCCTTTAAGTTTTCTATTTAAATGTGAATTTTTCCATAGTCTCTTTCTAGTGAAATATTTTCTTTCCCATGAAAAGTAATCAATGGGTTCTTTCCTGATAAGGCACGGACTCAGTGAGGGAGATATGACAGCTAGAATAGACATACCATATACATCTAAAATATTAAATATTTCATTTATATTAAAAAATAGCATGTACATAGCATCATATTTGATCACTGGATAATCTAAACCTTAGACTTGATCAGAATGGATCAGAAGATTTATAGAGCCCCTAATAATGTGATATTTGAATTGATTTTTATTTTGCTTTCATTTTACAAGACTATATCAAACTTTTATTGCTAATTCCCTCTTTACTGATCAACAGGTAACAGAGGGCACATCTACACTTGCAAATAACATGACTGAATATACTCTGGCTCAAACTGACAAACTAATCCCAATGTTCTAATCTGCACATGTGTTTAAGTGCAGTAATTTACTGTGCTGTCAGATACCTCTTGTATCTGATGAAACTATCCAGCAGCACAGTAAATTAGTCTACTGCACCCTAATTGCCACACATGGATAGATGGTGATGCCTTATTGTACAGCAAATTAGTCTGCTGCGCAGTAAAGCATCTCATGTAGACACACCCAGTGAGAATCAGCCCAGCATGAACAGAGAGAAAAGATAATGTTATGTAGCACTTATATCATACTTTTCATCTAAGGTCTCAAAACACTTAACAAAGGTGTGTATAAGCACCATTAGTCACATTTACAAATAGGGAATCTTAGGTACAATGAAGACACTTACCCAGGATGACAGTTCAGAATAGAGCCATGGCTTCAGCAAAGGCACATAAGCACATGCTTACAAGTTAAAAACATACCTAAGTGCTATCCTGAATTGAGATGCACTTATAATGCGCTTGAGTGCTATATTTCTGAAGAAGGACCAAAACCAAGAACTGCTTTATGTACTGGACCATGTTAGCAAGAATGGAAATTCATATGCACGTGTTCACTAATTCATTAAGTCTCACCATTCCTAGATACGGTTTATTTTCTAAAGTATGACTCATAAAAACAGTGAAGTAAGGCTGTAGAAATAAGAGGACAAAGCATACGTCCCAGAAAGAGTACAGTAAAGCGAATCAAATGCTAAATGCAACTTGGAAAGATAAGAGTTTTTTAGCGGGCTTTGAATGCTAATAGATTTTTACAGAACCTAAAGGAATGGTTCTATGCCCTGTCACTTGCTGATGAGTGCAGAGTGCTTGGTGTCAAACTGGATACTATTGTCCCAGGTAACAAAACCACAAATAGGTGTAAAAAACAAATTAATTCTATGTGAAATGCTTAAAAATGGAACCAATATGTGGAAACTAAGTAAGAAACACATCAGGGCAGAAGCTCGGTCCAACACTTGTAAGCAGGCAGGAAGCCTGTAATACCAGTAAGACAACAACTCTCTCTACTCTTCACCTGCCAGGAAGAATGGAACTCAGTCCAGCTCGTCTACAGTAGTACACATTTACACTCAGTTGGCACAGCGGAAGGACTGTCAAGTAGCCAGGACACTAGGCTTTGGCTTGGATGACCTGAAGTTCAGTTCTCTGCTCAGCTGCGTAACTCCTCTGGGCTCTGGCGCAAGTCATTTAATGCCTCTGGGTCTCAGTTCCTCACCTGCAAAATGGAGATTATTATAGTTCCCCATAAGATTTAGGAAAGTACTACAAGAATAAACAAACTAAAGATTGCAAAGGGCTCAGAAATGGTGGTAATGATACTGGGAAAGACAAGGTGGTATAGATGGATATAAATGAGAATTATCCCTATACATTGAATAAAAATATCAGATCCATCTCAGCCATTATTACTAGATGGCTCAAGAAAGTGTATATACAGGATAGAATATGTGCGTTAACATAATTGCAACTGCCTGTCATCTACCCCATAACATAATAAACTTCCTCAGTTAATTATGCAGGCCTTCACTTTAGCCTCTAACAGTAATATCACTTTATATTTTCATTAATAGTCTGGACAATGATATTGAGTCCATGATTAACAAATCTAAAGATGACACCAACTTAGCTGGAGCTGCAGATACTCTAGAGAGTTGAGCTAGAATCCAGAATGACCTGGATATACTGGAGAAAATGGTCCATGATCAATCAGATGAGATAAAACAAGGACAAGTGCTAAGTCCTACACTTGGGATGGAAAATTATATGCACATATAAAGACTGGGGGATAACTGGCTACGCTGCAGTACTGCAGAGGAGGACCTGGGGGTTATGGTAGACCATAAACTGAATATAAGACAACAGTATATTGGGTTGCATCAATAGAAGTGTCACTTGAAAATCAACGGAAATTTTTCTTTTGCTCTGTTCAGCACTGGTGAGGCCTTGCTTGGAGTCCTGTGTCCACTTCTGGGCCCCACACTTCAAGAAGGATGTGGACAGTTTGGAAAGAGT